TATAATGAAAAGCTACCTAAGAGATGGAAAGGCTAACCCAACTCTCTAATGTTATTCTCCTTTTGTGTCATTTTATAGGACTATATTTGACTGCACACTAAGTCTAAGATGTCGAGCTGATTTAAACATTAAATTATTTGTAGTGAAAGAAACATTAAAACAATGATTGAAAAACTAGTTTCATAGAGAACATATCATATGAATGTTTAAAAGTTTATACAAGTTCTGAAAATTATTATACACAATAATATCACTAGCAGGGTGGTGTAACATATTTAGGGATGTCCCAAAATGATAAGATTTCCATACTATAAATATGAGACAGAGGAAATACATCTTATTAATATTTCAAAGTTAAAAATTTAAAAAAAATGCCAATTAATGCAATCTGCAATGTCAGAACCTCTCTTTGGAATAAAGCATTTTATAAATATTTCAAACCTACTAGGTTAACACCAAGCAACCATGAGAATTAAAAGAAAGAAGTATATTTCATTGAGCTTAGTTTGGTTTATCAACCACACCAACATTTATTATCTTAAGCATTTCCAACTGCATCTTGCATCTGTTTTGGTACATTAGTTTTTTGTTTTTCCTGCTCTTTTCCAATTTCCAAAAGCCACCTACCTAGACAAGTACAGTAGTAACAGTACTTAAAGTGTTTGCCAGACTAACAGCATGTTTGGAAAAATTAACTTATTTTGAGAAAGTTTTTTTCGGATAGAATCGGTTTGTATTTGGCTAATCACTCTAAAAAGCACTTTTGAGCAATAATTTGTGTTTGGCCAAGCTTTTCAGAAAGTGCTTTTAAGTATCAAATTACAAATAAGGACATAAATAGATTTACTTAATAGTTAATATTATAAGTAAATAAATAATCTTAAAAAATTATTATTACATGCAATAATTAAATTTTTTCATTTTATTTAAGTAAAATATGAAAGTAAAATTTAAAAATACTTAGTTCTTTTAATATAAGTTAAATATATTAAAAATCATTCAACAAATATAAAAGCATTCACCCCTAAAGTCACTATATATTAGAAAACTATCCTAAAAATAATAAAAAATATTTATACAATAATATCCTAAGTATTAGGTTTAACGGTTATTTTAGTATATATTATATTTTGTTAAGGGTAATTTTGATAAAAAAAAAAGTCAAAATTGCTTCTGCTTTTGGGAAGAAGCTACTTTTTTCTTCTTCTCAAAAACTGATTCTGCTTCTTTCCAAAAGCGTTGGCCAAACACCTCAAATTAGGGAAAAAAAGTTCTTTTCCAAAAACAAAATCACTTTTGGCTATTAAGTACCTTTAAATAGTCAAACATTCAATATAATACCTGCACTAATAGAAGGAATTTGATAAACATACTTCTGAATCAAGAACGTGGCAAATGGCAATTAGAAAAAACACATGCATGTGAATACAGATAAAGCAAAAGCCAAAAAATCTGTAAGATCTTGACAGCAGGCTTTCAACAAGAAGCACCAAGACTTTTTCTACCACCTCATAAAATAAAAGAAAAATGAAAATGTCCTACTACAGTAATTTAACATGTGATTACACGCCTACTGAGCCAAAAATAGACTACTCATACAAGGATCAAGATTGTTCAACACCAAAGTAAAAAGTGTTTCTGCTCTTTTCTACTTTGTTAAAACATACTACTAGTATAAAATTCAAATACCAAAACAGATACTACCTCCCTTTCAATTTAGATACACATTTAGCATATTATGAGAAAAATTGTAACTTATACTCATTTTTTTTTTATAGTTTTTAAATATCTAAATTTTAATTTTAAAATATTGAGTTGAACTAATCTAATTTAGATTCAAAATTTAGTACTCTCGAGGAGCGAAATGTGTTGAAAGTACAAATTGTCTTATTCTCAACTCTAAGCACTTGATTGATTCATCAAAGTTGTAGGAAGAGCAAACAATAGCAATAAAGAAGCATATAATGACTAATTAAAACTAAGATGATAAGGGAGTGTATATAAGTTAAACTCGTAAAAAGAACTGTCGTACCTTGTGCGGGTTTACTATCCAACTCAGAAATACTAGAAGAACTACCACCTTGAGATTCCATTGACTCCAGTGATGCTGGTTTTCCAAGCCCTTGCATTTTACTAGCCAAATAACTTCCTTTCCCTTTTGCCATTGCCCCAAAAGCAGCCAATGTTGGCAACCCACAACCAAACTTCTTTGCAGTAGCCAAATACTGTTCCCTCTCCAATTTTCTGCCTCTCAACTTCATCTCAATCCCTCTCTTTTCATCTCCCACTTCTTTATTATCACCCCTTAAATTCCTTTGTACTTTCTCTGACCTTCTCCTCTTAGCTTGCATCCTTCTCAAACTCTGCAATTCTTTCCTCTTTCTCCATTCTGCCTCAGTTTCCACTGGCAATGAAGAAGTTCTAACCAAACTGCTATGATTATAAGATACTTGTGCTGATGATGATGAACTTAGTGCATCATCATCTTTAACTGTTGGTAAAATAGCAGCTATAGAAGAAGACCTTACTAATGATGTTTTGTCAACACCAAATCTACCTCCTAATGACAACCCAAGATTCAACGCATCTTCATTAATATCCTCAAGTTCAGATTTTTCTGAAGTAGTATTGCCCATAAATCTTTGCAATAAGTCCCTTGAAAATCTGCTTGTGTCCAATGAAAGATTCTCCATCCTCCTCTCATCTGCATCACCCATGACAAAACCATATAAACCCCACCAAAAAAGAACTATTATCAGACTTAATTATTTTCACATGTAGGTGCATTTTAAAACTTCCCATGATCAAATTTAACCACACCCAGATAGAAAAATCTGATCTTTAACTTCATATTAGCTTGGACTAAGCTTCAAGATTAAGTATTTTACACCCACTTTAAAGAAAACCTCAGCAGCAATAAAAGAGCAATTCCACAATAACTGTAAAAATCCACCAAAGATGTTAAAAATGGAGAAGCAAAAACAATCAAGAAAATTGTTAGCTATTGTAGGGAATGTTATGTTCCAGAAAAAGGGTGGTGAAAAAATCAAGAAAACATGAAGAATAGGGAGCATAAAATGCAAATGGAAGAGGGAGAGAGAATAATGAAACAAATTAATGAAATGAGAAGTTGGGAAAAAGAAAGGAAAATGGGGCATGGATTTTGAGTGTGGAGGGGACAAAGAAAGTATTTTGCAAAGGACAAGTGGCTGAAATGAGAAAGGGTGTAGGGTGACACGTGGGTATGACTGAATAGCCCCTTTTTGGTGGTGTCTCTAATGAAAGTTTCAATCCAAGAAAAGGATGTTTAATTAGGAATAGGAATTATTTAGATGTGGTCACTCAGATATCAACCTTTTCTATTGGGACCAATAATTTAAGTTTGATTGATCATAAAAATAGTTGCAGAGACACCATTCTTTTTGAAATATTAATTTGAACCCCTTTTCTTTTTTGGATTGTACTTTTCAGGGTTTTATATTGTTGTGATTCATTTCGTCATGTAATTTTAGCACTTAGTGAACCTTTTTTCAGAGCCCCGATTATTCTGTATTCATGTAAGGCTCATTAAAGTAAAAGTGTTTTCTACAACAACAAAAAAAAAACTTTTTAAAACTCGAACGCAAAATTTTTGGTTAAAGTATTTGGTGAACTGAAATTAGAGGCATCATATATTGCCTCTTCATGTTTCTGTATTTTTTAGCAGGAAACGAATATCATGGATGTTATCGGCTAAAGTTTGTAAAAATTAAACACGATAATTTTTTAAATCAATCATTATTATGTATACAATTGAGATTGAACCTTTAAATAATATGCTTTAGATTAAGTCTTCTTATTGAAAGGAGCAATTTCAACAAATAAATGGAATTTGAAGGACTTTCTGCTTGCACCTGTAGAATAATATATTAGTCTTCATTTTAAACTATTATAATACGATAAATTGACATTTTAAATTTTGTATATAGATGAGTTTGTATAACATTTTTATTTGGTATAGGGTGTTTTCTCTTTTACTTTACATAAACTTCCATCTCTCTAATAGCTCAAAATTCTCTTAAACAACAACTTTGATTAGAGAGAAATAACTTTGTTAAGGCAAATAAATAAAAGTCCATGGTCATGAACTTTATATATCTTGTAATGAATTACATTCTTGATCCATTGAAGCTTCAATTGGATATGATGAATTTTGAATATTATCAAGGAGTAAATGCAATTTTTCCACAAGTTGGAGGGGTACGTGGCAACCACTAGGGTACACGAGGGATATGGTGAGGCGTTGTAGTACAGAATGGAACTACCAGAAAGAGAAATGAATTTGGCTGTCTGAGACACTTGTCAAGAAATCAACAGGGATTGACATTTGTCAATTTATACTATCCTCAGCATCTTCTATGTTATTTTTCTTTTATTTATAGATTTCTTTTCATTTTAAATGCTCTGTATTTGCATTTAGGTTCCAACTATTCAAATTTAGGTTCCAACTATTCAACTATTAAAGGGTCGCTATTAGAATTTTGTAATTCTCATGCTAGAATAAAGTGGGCGTTTGGACATAAGAATTATAAAATTGTAAAATAGGGAGAAAAAAATTTTCAAGTGAAAATGGTGGCATTTGAAATTTAGAGTTGTGTTTGGACATAAATATAATTTTGAATTGTTTTTGAAGTTTTGTGAGTGATATGAGTGAAAATTTTGAAAAACAGTTTTTTGGAGTTTTTCAAATTTTCAAAAATTTCAAAATGCATTTTCAAGAGAAAATTAGAAATTTTATGAACAAACGCTGATTTCGAAAAAAAGTAAAATTTTTTTGAAAAAAAAAAATTCTTATGTCCAAACGGGCTCATAATATACTCTCTTTGTTCACTTTTAGTTGTTCACTTTTAACTTTACACTTCCTTTAAGAAAAAATAAATAAAATATATATTTTATAATTTTACTCATAATAATGATAGCATTATCAAAAGCCTTAAAAAATAATTCGGGTAATAAGTAATTAATGATAAAGGTCAAGAGAAAAATTATTTTTCTCTTAATTTAATGTGAATATAGCAGATAAGTAAAAATAAAAATATATTTTTAATAGGACAAATAAAAATGAATAATTAGAAGTTGAAGGGATCAATTCTTGTGATGGTTACAATGATTTGGTTAGCTGTCGACAAATAAGGGAAAAGGGTTCAGTCCTTTGGGATTTGTGTAATTCTTTTTCTAAAATTGGATTAGTTTATATTAATGAAGGTGTTTTTCTGAGTACTACCCAGATTGGACATGACACGTAGCTCATAAGCTTCCTCTCTTTGGTCAAATTTAGGATATTTCAATTCTCAGTAAGAACAAGAAAGTCCAAATATAATGTTCTAAAATGGACCCACACACACAACAAATGAATTATCCAAATGATGACTTAAAAATGGGTGACGTTTAAGCTGCTATTGCTTCAAAACAGGCGAAAGAAGTTTTGGAAAATTTTATTTTGTTATAAAATAAAAATTATAAAGTAAATAAATTGAATATAAGTATAGAAAAATTAATATATTATTCAACTTCAAACTCATGTATATAATGAACGGAAAACTTTTTTATTTATAGAAAAAAGAAAGCAGTTGCGAGACTTTTCTTGAGCTGCTTGTAAGCTGTCTGCATGAGATGTTTGCAACCTGCCTGTTTAATAAGAAGTTGTTGCAAATCATTTCATTGAGTTGCCAACCTGCCTGCATCAGCAGCTTGTAGATAAATTTCAATAGAGTACCAAACGGATAATCTTCTTCAGGAAGATTATTTATAACGGAGTAATAAATGGACATCCATAATATAATTATTTTCATAACGCTCCCCCTTGGATGTTCATTAAAAGATATTGTGCCTCGTTAAAACCTTATTAGGAAAAATTCAGTGGAAAAATCCTAGTGAAGGCAAAAGAGTACACATATTTAGTAATGCGCATTTCTAGCTGCCTCATTAAAAACCTTACAAGAAAAACCTCATGGAAAAAACCTTAGTAAGGGAAAAAGAGTATAACGCGTATTTCTCTCCCCTCATGAAAACCTTGTTTCAAATATTTGAGTCTCCGCATTCCAATCTTGTATACCATCTTCTCAAAAGTTAAAGTTTGGCAAAGATTTAGTGAACAAATCTGTTGGATTGTCACTTGAACGGATTAGTTGCACATCGATGTCACCATTTTTCTGAAGATCATGTGTGTAGAATAATTTTGGTGAAATGTGCTTCGTTTTATCTCCTTTTATAAATCCTCCCTTTAATTGGGCTATGCATGCAGCATTGTCTTCGTATAAAATTGTGAATCTTTTATCACATTCCAAACCACATTTGTTTTTTAATAAAATGAATCACTGATCTCAACCATATGCATTCCCTACTTGCTTCATGAATAGCTATTATCTCAGCATGATTTGAAGAAGTAGCAGCAATAAATTGCCTTGTGAAGCGCCATGATATGGTATTACCTCCACATGTAAACACATACTCGATTTGAGATTGAGCTTTATGGGGATCGGATAAATAACCTGCATCTGCATAACCAATACGATCTGCACCACCTTTGTTAGCATTAGCAAGATACATAAGTGCACCAACTGTACTGAGATAGAGTATTTCAGGACCAAGAAGTTCATCATCCTCTTATGGAGGTCAGAACGGATACTTATTCACTTCAAGTGATCGAACACCTATTAGTGTACTTAATGGCTGCATTTTATCCATGTAAAAGCGTTTAAAGACCCTTTCTATATAGGCAGATTGATGGATAAAGATCTCATTCGCTAAATATTCAATTTGTAAACCAAGACAATTTTATTTTTTCAAGATCTTTCATCTCAAATTCTTTCTTAAGATATTCAATTGCCTTTTGAAGCTCTTTTGGAGTTCCAACAAGATTTATGTCATCAACTTAAATAGCAAGTATAACAAATTCTGATGCCATTTTCTTTATAAAAATACATGGACAAATAACATCATTTATGTAACCTTCTTTCAGCAAATATGCACTGAGGCGATTATATTACATGCGCCCAGATTGATTTAAACTGTATAAAGATCTTTGTAAGTTGATCGAGTACATTTCTCGAGACTTTGAACTATATGCTTCAGGCATTTTAAATTCTTTAGGGATCATTATAGAGATTTAATTAAATTAGTCATATAGGTTATGACTTGCATTTAAATGGCATGACATCTTCAGGTGTATGGACTGCAGGTTCGATCCTCACAATCATTTACAATATTGTGCACTATATTGTATCAAATATATCGTCGACGATCATTTCGTATCGATTTGCAAGTGACATAACTTGTTGAGATCTTATTACTTTCTTTATTTTCAGGTACTTGAACTTCTTCTGGAGTTTCATAAAATGTTATGTCGTGGGTTCTTCTAGAGCTCATTTCCTCCTCATTGTGATCATTTTGATCATTTGCTCCTATCATTTTTCAAGGATTGTTACCTTTGGAACCGATCGGTTTACTACGCTTCATGCGTGCAGTAAAATTTATCCTTCAGGGACTTTAATTTTAATAGGAGCATTTGCAGCTGAAATATGATATTTAATTTTGGATCAGCAAATGCTTCTGGCATTTTGACTTGAATTATCTTCTAAGTGAGGATTATATTAATGATAATTTGATTCATATATCATATTTTCTAGCTGTTTATTTCATCCCCCAAATGTTAGAAAAACTAACACATATCCTCAATCTTTTTTGGGAAACCTATCTTTGTGCATTGTGGTAGAGAAATTAATCATATATCACACATCAAAAGTTATTAGATAGTAAAAATATTTAATTTCTGATCTTAAACCAATTGTGGGGAAGGACTTATCATATTTTGTTGGTCTGATGCATACAAGTGATGTTGTATGCAATTTAGAAAATCTTAGACCAACACATGAAGTTTTGTTCTCACAAGCAATAGTTTAGCCACTAATAGGAGGTATTCAATGCTAAACCAGCTTGGATATAAACCAGCGTTATCAAGATGAACTGTCTTGATTTCATAATCTGAAAATTATGCTCTTAATTGAGAAAAATAATTTCAGATGCCAAACTGCAGGTTGACAATAATCGTGCGTATGACCATATCATATATGCATATATAAGTGGTTCGCATGATAGGTGTATGGGCTCATATTTACCTTTTATATAT